GTTACAACCTAACCCCCAGGAGATGACCATAGAAATTATACTGCTGGGCCCGTCAGTAGATACTAACCGTATAAAACTTGAAAGATTTATGAAGACTGCTTGTCCTGGTAGGGTGATTGTTGTTCAACTAGTGGTTGGGAAACATGACTTATTTAATACATATTCTAGTTACCAGAAAGTAATACATAACAATGTAATTAGGTATGAAATTTAGGGCGTACCTCTATAACCTTGCAGTTGAAATAACCAAGAAGGCCCTGCTGCAACCAATGTCAGTAAGTGAGTTATCTTTAAACATGGAAACAGAAACATTATAATTGACATATTCATATGTAATGAACATTGCATTGTATAACATAAGTGCATTAGAGGAGTATGCAATAACGTTTAGAACTGTATAAGAAAGCATTTGAGCGTAGAGTGGTCACCTGAAAAGCTAATTAACATGTTTAACTCTTATATATAAATACACACACTGTGGTTTTAAGAAAAATTCTGCAGGGTGAAGCCGAACAGTAATAACACCGTACTTTAAGAATTTGTATAGGCTTAACCGCTACTATGCAGATTGTTTAGTGAACAATAGTAACATAGGAAATTTAAACGTGAGACTAAAGGAACCATGCGAATTCAAACATGAAACGCAATACTAATGAGAACAAGGCTGTGATCGGCTGAAACAAACGAACTGAACACTCATTGCCTTATGCAAGCGTTATAGTAAGAGGTGATGAAACATATGGAAGATTGCACGAACGAAAAGCAACAGTGTATGTATAAACGTTTATGTATGATATCTTTTAAACGAACGGACACAGATTTATACAAATTGGAACGTGAGAAAGCTTATGAAAGGATTGCACGAAACGCGGGTTTTACTCGAAAAGTAGCAACTTACAGTTAGCCGTTCGTGCGCTTGCTTAAGTTATACTCACGAACACAGAACTGAAAGAAAGTTTTGGCGACAGACTGCCTTCCGGCGGGCGGGAAAATTATGTCAGAGTCCAGTGAACCGGAAGTAAACAGGAGCACTTCCGAGATCGTAGCTGACAGGTAAGCAGGGGCTTACTGGGTTTAAATAGGGTACATAGTGCCTCCCACAACTACAGGCCAAGCTATATATATAGATTTAGTTGCTGTTACTGAGACATGGTATAATGAGAAAAATGACTGGGACATAGCAATACCAGGGTACTCTTTATATAGAAACGATAGTGAAGGCAAGAAAGGGGGAGGGGTGGCCCTGTATGTGAAGGATAGCATAAAATCTAGCCTAATAAAAGTTAGTGAGACAAACATAGAGTCCGTTTGGGTTACGTTAGAATTTGGTAATCACACATTAACTCATGTAGGTGTGATTTATAGGCCCCCAGGACAAATCGAAGAGTTAGATAATCTACTAGTTGAGGAAATAGCTAAAATGACAATGAAAGGGGAAGTTATCATCATCATGGGTGACTTTAATCTTCCTGATGTAAATTGGAAAACAAAACTAGCTACTTGTGCCAGGAATAAACTCACTACTGGGATTGTCTCTAAAACAAGTTGTTGAAGAGCCAACTCGTAAAGAGGCCATACTAGATTTAGTGTTAACAAATGGAGATTTGGTATCAGATATTACTGTAGGTGAAAGTTTAGGATCCAGTGATCATCAGTCAGTGTGTTTTAATATAAGAACAGTGACTGAGCCACACCACACAAAAACAAAAGTTTTAGACTTTAGAAAAACAGACTTTTCTAAAATTAGAATATGTGTAGAGGAGTCATTATCAGACTGGAGCAATTTAAATGGAGTCCAAGAGAAATGGGATTATTTAAAAGTTGCACTATTGAAGGCAACAGAAAATTGCATTAGGCTTGTCAGTAAAAGCAAAAAATTCAAGAAACCACTGTGGTACTCCGCAGATGTGGCCAAAATAGTTAAAAACAAAAAGTTAGCATTCAGGAATTATAAAAAAACCCAGAGTGAGGAAAACAAAATGATCTTTAAGATTAGGCAGAAAGAGGCTAAGCAAGTTATAAGAGCTTCCAAATCACACACAGAAGAGAAAATAGCACAGTCAGTAAAAAAGGGGGACAAAACATTTTTTAGATACATAAATGAGAAAAGAAAAGTAAAACAAGGATTAGTTAGATTAAAAACAAAAGAAGGAAGGTATGTAGAAGAGGATAAAGGTCTAGCTGACTGCCTCAATGATATTTTTGTTCTGTATTTTGAAAATGAAGGAAAGGGACCTCAGTTGAGAAAAAGGATAAATGAGTCATTTATTACACGTGAGTTTACAGAGGAAGAGGTTCTATTTCAACTGTCAAAAGTAAAGACAAATAAGTCAATGGGACCTGATGGAATACACCCAAAGCTATTAAAATAGCTTAGTGGTGTACTAGCAAAACCATTAACAGATTTATTTAACCAATCATTGTTAACAGGAGTAGTCCCAGAAGATTGAAAGTTAGCGAATGTTGTGCCCATTTACAAGAAAGGTAATAGGGAGGAGTCGGGCAACTATAGGCCAGTAAGCCTTACTTCAGTAGTGGGGAAAGTGATGGAAACCATGTTAAAGGATAGGATTGATGAACATCTAAAAACACATGGATTTCAAGATCAGAGACAACATGGGTTTACTTCAGGGAGATCATGCCAAACTAATCTTATTGATTTTTTTGATTGGGTAACTAAAATTATAGATCAGGGTGGTGCAGTAGACATTGCTTACCTAGATTTCAGTAAGGCTTTTGACACTGTTGCACATAGAAGGCTTATCAATAAACTGCAATCTTTAAGTTTGGATTCCAATATTGTTGAATGGGTAAGGCAGTGGCTGAGTGACAGGCAACAGAAGGTTGTAGTTAATGGAATATATTCGAAGCTTGGACTTGTCACCAGTGGGGTACCTCAGGGATCTGTACTTGGACCCATTCTCTTTAATATTTGTATTAGTGATATTGCAGAAGGTCTTGATGGTAAGGTATGTCTTTTTGCTGATGATACTAAGATATGTAACAGGGTTGATGTTCCAGGAGGGATAAGCCAAATGGCAAATGATTTAGGTAAACTAGAAAAATGGTCAGAATTGTGGCAACTGACATTTAATGTGGATAAGTGCAAGATAATGCATCTTGGATGTAAAAACCCAAGGGCAGAGTACAGAATATTTGATAGAGTACTAACCTCAACAATTGAGGAAAGGGATTTAGGGGTGATTATTTCTGATGACTTAAAGGTAGGCAGACAATGTAATAGAGCAGCAGGAAATGCTAGCAGAATGCTTGGTTGTATAGGGAGAGGTATTAGCAGTAGAAAGAGGGAAGTGCTCATGCCATTGTACAGAACACTGGTGAGACCTCACTTGGAGTATTGTACACAGTACTGGAGACCGTATCTTCAGAAGGATATTGATACCTTAGAGAGGGTTCAGAGAAGGGCTACTAAACTGGTTCATGGATTGCGGGATAAAACTTACCAGGAAAGGTTAAAGGATCTTAACATGTATAGCTTGGAGGAAAGACGAGACAGGGGGGATATGATAGAAACATTTAAATATATAAAGGGAATCAACACAGTAAAGGAGGAGACTATATTTAAAAGAAGAAAAACTACCACAACAAGAGGACATAGTCTTAAATTAGAGGGACAAAGGTTTAAAAATAATATCAGGAAGTATTACTTTACTGAGAGGGTAGTGGATGCATGGAGTAGCCTTCCAGCTGAAGTGGTAGAGGTTAACACAGTAAAGGAGTTTAAGCATGCGTGGGATAGGCATAAGTCTATCCTAAATAAGGCTAGGGACTAATGAAAGTATTTAGAAAATTGGGCAGACTAGATGGGCCGAATGGTTCTTATCTGCCGTCACATTCTATGTTTCTATGTTTCTATATAAGGCACCTACGATCTCCTTATCTCCTCCCCTGCATTTTTCTGGTAATATCCAGGAATGTATGGGATTTCTCAATCAGATTGAGTACCACTTTGAGGCCTCA